CATACATCATTCTACACAGTGAAGTTCTGTAGGAACAAGAAGAAGAGGGACTTTAAAGATAATTGCACAAATTCCTGGCAGTGTTTTCCACACATGCTTGCCAAATAAATGTGAGCACGACTTTTAACCTTTGCTTTACTTGTTTCCACACCTACTGTCCCTCTCTGTCCAATCAGGACCTGGACTCTGTGTGGCACTCCTGAGTACCTGGCCCCCGAAGTCATCCAAAGCAAAGGTCACGGCCGAGCGGTGGACTGGTGGGCTCTGGGGATCCTCATCTTTGAAATGCTGGCTGGGTAAGTGCTGCAGTGTACACCACACGCCACCCATTTTAAACACCAGGGGGCACCCTCCTCCACCAGAGCAACTGAGGTAAAGCTGCACTAAACAAAGAGCATCCAGATTTCAGCCCAAATTAGGATACAGTTCATCTAGAATAATGTGGTTTTGTGGAGAGTAACAGGGTGTTACACCTGTCTGAGAAATCAGAGAAATGTCGGCAAGAAGAACTTCTCGTGTTCTAACCACACACAGGTGAAAATATGCCTCTGTGAAGCCCAGACAGTGAAAACTTTGAGCAACTTTCCACGTGGCTAGAACACTCCTTCATGATCATCTCTCAAAACACAATAACACATTAACACCTGTACACTAGTGATGCAATCCAACATGACAGCCCTGCAAGCGGAAGTGAGCGAGAGAACCGAGCGGCGGAGGAGCCTGTGTACGCGGAACAAAGGAATTATTCAATTAATCGTATTGCTGTTATTGTCTCAGTGTGGGGAATCTATTCATTGTGTGCTTATTGGATACCGCAGAGCTGCGACAAATTAATGTGTGAATGGGTGTCATTGTTGTAGATGAAGAACAATGATGCTGATCACTTTAAAAGAAGCGCTCTGGTTCATTCTAATGTTCTCCGTCATTTGCGATGAATAATAATGTGTGTGCCTTATTGGAATTCTGAGAGAACAGTCCTGAAGGTTGAGATTGACTTAAACATTGATTGGGACTTTGTCTGGGGGACACAGCAGGTGATATTCTATAATCCAGCAGTTAATTAATTGAAGCAAATAGCATGGCCCTATCTTAATACTGGCTTGCACTATTTTATTGCAATGACTCCGTATTTTTATGCTGGACTCTCTTTGTGCATTAAATAAGAATAAAAATTCCAGTATTCTCTTTCCCTCAGAGGCCAAAGCCCATTTCAAACAAATTCTATAATAAAAAAATGGGCACTACAGGGAACCTGCTCTTCCTGCTGCATGTTTTATTATTGCCCTAAAGAAAATACCTTGCAGTTCTCAGTGGTACTACTTTCCACAGAGGACATCGTCACATTAAACACTGTTGACAATGTGATCTGTGGATTGTGCAAAATATAGCCCGACTGATATGGGATTTTTGAGACCATAATATACTGTTTAACATTTTAAATAATTTAATACATTGTCAACCAGTTCTAGCTGACAATCCCGAGAATTGCTTCTTCTCTATGCTGCTTGCCACGGTATTGTAAATCACAGTTTGTTTTTGCAATTTGCACCGGGGGAAAAGACAGTTGTATTGGCTGGTAATATTGTCTGACAGTGGGTTTATTAGAGCTTTTTATTAAGTTATTAATAATGGACCCTAACTAGGAATGTAACGATGTATCAGTTAAAGACAGTTAAATCGTGATGCAAATATGTGAAGATTAAAATTGGTCAGATGAAAAATTTATTGTGATACTCTTTTTAAACAGACGGCGCTATCTACTTTTGTCTTTGCTTGTTCGACGTTCTATGTCAGTGATTCCCAACTTTTTTCCTTAAGGGAGCCCTATTCTATTATTGACTAAACTAACGACCCCTGACTAAGTAACATATTTTATAGATATTTCAAATTATATTCAACAATAACCGTACAGATAAACTGTACAATGAACCCAAATAGTGAACACAATAACTGCAGGAAGATTGTGTAAAACAAGCGATTTGGATGAGTTTTGAGCAGAATTTCCTGTGAATATAGCATCAGAGATATTTTTTTTAAATATTTTTAGGAACTTTTTATACAATTCTCTGTCTGTGTTATGTATTTTTTATTATTCTAACAACAACATACATACTTAATAGGCTTCCTTTTTGACAAATTCAGTGTTT